GCGAATGATGAGCTCCTTGAATTTGACCAATTGTTATTAGTATTTATTCATCTCCTACGATCGTAGTAAAGAATAAACATTAAAGCTCTCATGTATAAGTCGCGCCAAAAATTTCCAAACTGTCGGACCCACTATTAAGGATATCTCAACAGCTCAATCCCTCAACACCCCGAGGTCGCTCTTACGTGCACCGAAAATCTCCCTCAACCGCCTCATCTCGACTTCTTCACCCTCAATTGAGCTGTGCAATGGCCTCTCTTACAGCAGCATGCAGGGCATCTGCCCGAGCTGTTACTGCTCGGTCCGCTATTGCTCGTGGTACGTTCTGTCCATTTCCTGACGTTGGAAAAGCCCCTCGGACCCTTTTGTCGCGCACCGACTAACACATCATCCTTTGTTGTAGGCTTCACCACCTCGACGCGATGCCTCGCCGCTCAGAACTTCACCATGCCCGCCCTCTCGCCCACTATGACCGAGGGTAATATTGCTACATGGAAGGTCAAGGAAGGAGAGGCTTTCAGTGCCGGTGATGTGCTGCTCGAGATCGAGACCGACAAGGCTAGCATGGATGTTGAGGCCCAGGATGATGGTATCATGGTCAAGATCATGGCTGGTGATGGAAGCAAGGCTGTTCAGGTTGGATCACGCATTGGAGTTATTGCTGAGGCCGGCGATGATATCAACTCCCTCGAAATCCCCGCCGATGAGCAGGCCAAGGAGCAACCGAAGGAACAGTCCAGCGCCCAGGCCCCCAAGGAGAGCACCGCCCCCTCCGAGTCGAACCCCGTTGAGAAGAAGAGCGCAAAGCCTACTGGAAACGATACCTACGAACACAAGTACCCTCTGCTGCCCTCTGTTGGACATCTGATCAAGGAGAAGGGCATCAGTGAGGCCGACCTCAAGAAGATCAAGGGCACTGGTCCTCACGGCCGATTGCTCAAGGGTGATATCCTTGCCTACCTTGGAAGCATCAATCCCGAGACTCCCGCTGCCAACGAGGTCAACTTTAACAACCTGTTCCACCTCGACCTGAGCAACATCAAGGTGGCTACCAAGCCTGCTCCTCCTTCTAAGCCTGTTGAGGAGGCTAAGGCTGAGGCTCCTAAGGCCCCTGTGGTCGAGGACCTCGAAGTTTCCATCCCCATTACTTTGTCCAAGGTCGTTGAGGTCCAGAACCGGATCCACGAGACCCTCGGTGTCTTCCTGCCCATCTCGACCTTTGTCGGCCGCGCTGCTGAGGTTGCCAACGACGACCTCCCTCCGACCAAGCGTGCCCCTACCGCCAACGAGCTTTTTGACCAGGTTCTTGGTCTCGATAAGATCAAGGCTGCTAAGGGTTCTCGCGGTGTCTACCTACCCCAGATCTCTGCTGTCCCTCCCACCTCTCTACTCACTCCTCTCACTCCCACCCGAAAGCAGACTGACATCATTGACATCCTCGCCGCGCCGAAGAAGTCAGCTCCCAAGCCCGCTACCATTCAGACCGTCCCTGGTCTGTCCAGCGGCACCAACGTTTTTACTCTTGTGGTCCCCAAGGCAGAGGAGGAGAGAGCGCAAATCTTCCTTGAGCGTTGCAAGGTGATTCTGGAGGAGGAGCCAGGACGACTGGTATTGTGAGCTTATGAAGATTCCCTGTAACATATCGATATTTTTTTGCTATAGACAATGGCTAGTAATTGCGCTTGGAACGCACTCTTGGTATTATGTCTACGCCTTTCAGTGGTGGTTTGCCAGATAGTCAGAACTACAATCCAATGATGAAACATGTTTGATGCCAGAACATTTCTAATAAACTAGTTCTTTGTGCCATTTGGGTTTGTGTATCGTGTTTTCATGCTGTCTTGGAGAAGCCCTCAAATTAGAACATAACCAGTCTTTGCATCTCATCTGCCTACGATGATACTTTGGTAAGTCGGTTTCCCAAGATTAACAGTCCCACAGATAAAGAAGGGTTTTGAAAACGAAATTTTTAAGTACCGCCTGCCTAAACTGAGACCCTCGTATCTAAGGTTACCAGTCTTTCTGTCTGTCGCCTTGATGATGTGTATCCCAGTATGACGGCATAGCAACCATGTGTCCATGGGATTACGCTCATCATTATGCTTACATACAAGTCCATCTAACTATACTAGGTACTCCAATAGTCTAAGATACCTTGTTTCTATCGCTGCCATGTGATTATCTTCTTGTTCACTATGCATCCTAGAAAATCATCGTCTTTTAGCAAAGGAGTAACTAGGTAGCTTCGAGATACGAGATCAGCGCGTAGTGTTGTATACAATCATTTCCTCTCGCTATTCATCTTGAGCTCCTTTGTAGTGAACGTATTCAAAGGCCATCCCTTCGATCTGGTCCACACCATCGGAGCATTATAAGTAGTTCCCGTCTGCAATGTCAAGCAAACCCACATAAGTTCCTAGACATCCTCCAATCTTGAGTAATTGATCGGCATTCGGCTGAAGGCGAGACCATGAAATTAATTCAGCTTTATTGCGGAGTTGAACGGGAAATACCGAGATGCCAAGGCCCAACTTGGGTTGTCTAGATTGTGAATGCATCTCCATATGCCTGCATGTATTGTATGTATCGGTCACGTACCGACGCCAGCTAAGCTATTGTTGTTTTGAAATGTGTCATGGCCCATAGTAGTGTCTTTAGTGGCAGAGATCGTGAGGAATCGTGATCAGCAAACTCATGCAGAAGGATGAAACAGTCGAAAGCCGCCCTGGGAGGGCTGACCTTTCTTGTCGACTTGCATTAGTGATGCCTCAACTGAAGGAAGCGGGCAAGACTAGGACTGCAATCTATGAATTGGTTGACTGAAGTGGCTGTGGGTGTGTCTCGGGGAATAGGACAGAATCCGCGAACCCGGTCGGCGGACAAGGTTATGATACATGGAAAACAGCTGGAAAGTGCCGTAGCCTCGAGACGTATCAATAAGAGTTACCAGCGAAGGTCTTGATTGGTGAGGAAAAAACAAGCAAGCGGCTATCTGCAGAAGCGTATTAATACTGGCTGGAGTTGCCCAATCGACCGATGCTAGTGGCGATGAATCACCCCTGTTTGTTGAAACGCTTGAGCTAAGACATGGTAAGGCAGGAGAAGGACAAGGCGGGATCGGAATGCTCATAGATGAAGATGATGTTGAGATCCTTGCCAGGCTGAGCCTTGAGTTTCAGTGTAAGCAAGTGGATGGATGACTAAGGCGTCCCGGGCCGCATGTATGTAAGTGAAGGAAGGCCGGTTACACAAAGCGACTTCGCCGGCAGCTAATGTTCGTCACGTGGAAGAAGCAAAGTGAATAGACTTCTCTCTTTCCTCTGACTGGACCAACAAGTTGAACATCTTCACGATGGACAACCTGGCCACGCTACAGAGAGAGAAAAGACCGCTAGTCGTGTCCTCGACATAATACGAGAGAAACAACCAACCAACAGAAATACCAAGACTTTCTGAGTTCCGATTGAGAAATTCACACCCCCAGGATCAATCCATCATCTAGAGCGACATGTCCCCCACCCAAGGCTTCAAACTACCTCGCGTCGCGAGCTTAGAGGAGCCATTATGTTGGACTTTCGCACTAGGACTATAGAGACAGGGTTCTTTTCATTCCAGGAGGCCCTTCCAATAGCATATACTTGCTTCTTCTGGTCTCAGATCTGCCCCTCCCCGTTACTGCAGGACCTTGCGACCCCAGCCTGAAGCCAATGATATGACTTCGCAACCAGAAGTTCCAGGATGATCACTAAGACAAGGAGGGCCTTCCAATAGCTCCATGTCTGCTGTGTACGTCTCAGGACCCCTCCTCCCTCTCAGCTCCTGCGACCATGCGCCATGGAACGCCCATGGGACGCCACAATTGTCTGCTTTACCTCTCCCACCAGCGTCGCTGCTTTCATCTGGTCACATAACATCATACAGCCTGGTTCCGAGCTGTTGGTAAGGCTTCTAGTTGGATGAATTTAGGCCCCATCGCTGGCAAGATGGGTAGAAAGTGTCTGCCGTCCCGCTGTGCCGTCTCGTTAATGCTGAGTGTCACTGCTCTTCTGCATTGTCGTTGCATCCCATTTGTACAATCCAAGGCTGTTTCTCTAGAAGCCTCCTGCCAAGGTAGAGCCCTATATATATGAAGCTCTGGCCTCCAGCATCTTCGGATCCAATATTGACCAAGACGACCACCAACCGAGTAAGACCTCCCCGGAGTGAATCTGCAGTTGCGGGAGTCCTCCTTGTCTTCCAGTTTCGTATCCTGAACAGTCTTGGCAGGGCCTGCCGCAGAAATTTCTTGCTGAATTTCACAATTCAGACACAAGGACCCTCACAATTGATACGACTGAGTCACCGGCTATCCAGTCGCTTTTGCAAGACGCATCAGCTTACATCAACACCACGGGACTGTTTTGCGGAAACAGTCTCCTCTGTATAAAGCTACACAAAGATTATCTTCGAAGCGGACACCTTGACAGTTGTATCTGACATGACGCGACTGAGAGTCCCAGCAGATAAGCGCAGACGGGTTGCGCAGGCCTGTAACGCATGCAGGCAGCGTAAACAACGTGTAAGAAAAGAGTCTATTCCCCCTTGATTCATAATCAGTTGTCTTTACCAATGTCCTTTCCATTCTATCAGCGGACCTCATGGTGTCCTTCACTCCTAGCCACAAGCGACTCCTATATCCTAACCATAGGAAGCGTGGCCTTGCTGATTAAGCAGCTACTCCTGGGAGGTTTCCCCTATATGATCTTATCCCGAACTATCAAGTCTCTTAGATCGGCGACCTGGTCCGCAAATAATTGGACAAAAACGCGTTTACTAACACCTCCTCTATCATACAGTGTGATGGCCTTCGTCCCTGTAAATATTGTCGAAAACGAAGAGTGGACTGTGAATACAGGAGTCGTACAGACTCAGTATCATCGAGCGAGTCTCCTCGTCCGTCATCGAGGCAAAGTCCTTATAGAGAGTGTTCTAACCTGCCTGAGCTTTCCGGTACGTTGGACATGGTCCATGATGCACCTATCCAACAGAACGTCGCGAGATCAGCCACTCCCGAATTTGATTTCAGGTTTCGACTTGTTTCGGTTTCCGGATCCGAAGAGATCCAGATACCGGCGCACACTTGCATGCTGCTTGATTGCCAGAATCGTCTCTGTAAGCCCGCTCGCTATTCTGGAGTTATCTGGGAGTTGTTACTGATAGCCCTAGCCTTTGTTGGGCGTTCTACTGCTCACTCGTTCATGCACCACATCAGGAACACGATCGAGAAACGTGATGGCCCTTCGGAATTCACGGCAGATAGCAATTGGAGCGGTCTACCAGAAAGACTCCCCGTGGCCCCTAGGATGCAGTCGTTTCTCTCTCCAAGTGCAACTGCGAGTTTGATCGAATTATATTTCAACCACGTAAGTCGTTGGGCTACTCGAGAGAGAAGAACAGAACTGATTTCTCATTAGGTACGGAGCTTCATCGATATTGTCAACCCAGAAGCTGTGAGATTAACCTTGTATCAATTCCAAAATAATCCGAATGAGGTTCAGGGACCCGATCGGTGCATTTTCTACTTGGTTCTAGCCGTTGCACTCGCCTTGGATTATGGTGATTCAGCACACTCACCGAGCCCGGAATTTAAACACCAGCTATTTGCTGTAGCCGAGGGGCTGGCTCACCCAACCCGTACATTCGAAAAGTCCCAGTACCACGATGACGTCCTCTGGCCCCTCCAAGCTCTCGCTCTGATGTCGTTTTTTATGATGTCTGTTTCTATGAGGAATACTGCCTATGAATACTGCGGCAAGTCTCATCGTATCTGTATACGAACCATCGAAGCTAACAATGGTTCAGGTCGAGCTGTTCGAGTTGCGTACGCCCTTGGAATTCATCGAGGTCATGAGTCTGAGATCAGCCAGTTCCCCGCCAGCGAGGAACTCAGAGTTTTACGAAGAAACGTTTGGAGAAGTTTGTTTGTCCTAGACAGATTCCTGGCTGCAACGTTAGGAAGACCATTCGCCATCTCTGACAACGAATACTCCGAATCCTCCCTTATGCCACCCGGCCGACCAAGCAGTCCCAACAAAATTCCGAAAAGGGACATGCTCGACCCCCCTATTGATGCATGTAAAATGATTGGTCATATCGTGAACAACATTTACTCATGTGACAAAGTTGCGATCGAGATTCCGAATCAAATGCTGGGGTATCTAGAAGCCCACCCAAGTTTCCAAGAAGATGGATTCTTTACGGCAAGCAGCTTAATGCCCACGGTGTCTCAAATTCATGTGCATTTACTTGGGTTTTACGCCAACATCCTCCTTTGTCGCCCTTTTTTCCTTTTATCCTTCATGGGGGCGAACGCCTCGGATGGTATCCAGACACAGATCAATAGACTGTCTGAAAGATGCGTATCTCAATCACTTCAAGCGGTTGAAATGGTGAAAGGGGGTTTTCATGCCAACCTCTTGCGCCATTCTGACCCCTTAGCTCTGTAAGTCTGCTGCATATTGTCGGCCTTGAGTATTCGCTCATAAAAGCACAGCTATGTTTTATTTGAAGCGACACTTGTCTTGCTTAGCAGTACTTATGCAGACATCTACGCTCGAAAGGAACACTTGTTGTTGGTTGAAGACGCAATGTTCATCTTGAAAACATGGCACGCCTCGAGCCCTTACGCAGAGCAGTTCGCTTCCAAGTTGGACTTGTTTCGGCGTGACGTCGAACGCCAAGAACAACTGAAAGCTATAAGACAGGCTTCGAGGAGACAGGCTCACAAAGTCAAACGCGAGCCGGTGACAACTTACGAGCCTAGTCAGTATCGCTCTCCATTCCAGCAAATGCCTCGTGGTAGTTTGGTATCCCCATGCGATAGCCGTCGCATGTCAGGGACTGCAAACCACACCATGATCAAGCAAGAAGCTGGGGGGTACTCGGGCCCCTTGTCATCAAGGCCCCTATTCTCGCCTACCGATTTCAATATGGATCAATCCCAGTCTTTTGCTGAGTATTCACAAAGCTCAAATTTTAGTGACCATAGCATCGACATGGATTAGTCTGCCATGAGACCCTTTCTTCAAGGTTCAAATTGGGACGTTCTCGATGACCTGGCAGCCCAGACATACAATGGGTCATTCCAAACATACGCAGCCAAGTAACTGAGAGAAAAGGGAAACTTGATGGATGAGGGATCCGGCAGGCAAATGGAAATAGCTCGGTAAACGCGGATGAGCCTAGCACTTGGCGTAGGAGGAAGGATGGTTAGTGTGCTGGATTGGGAGGCAGATGTCAAATACAGTATGTCACTTTAGTCCTAGAAAGGCGTTTTGAGACGAATTTCAGGAACATATGTCATACGTGTCAATGGAAATCATGTCCGGGTAGTTGGTGTGTCACTCAATACCACAGAAACTCCAAGTTAAGCAGTGACTGTTGGCCCTGCATTGACTGAACTCCGCTCTTGGCCCCTACAATGGCAACATATGGGCTAGAAGTGATCTGCCCCTAGTTTGAGACTTCTGCAACTATAACTTTTGTCTTTGTAGATACAATTTTGCATCTTTATGGCACTGTAGCAGCATCAACTGCCTTGTGCTAGGTATTTGATTGTGTTGGAGTGAGTACACTGCATAAGGTACGTAGTGATCAACTACAAATCAGATAGATGCCTGAGAAGAGATAAGAGACAACAACAAGAAGAACATATGATCTTCAGAACCGCTCACCAATACCGGTCATAAAGGTGAAACCCGGTGAGTTGAAAAATGACTGGTCGCTGTCCAGCTCTAAATGTACTGTACCTTGGGTATGCAATGCAGCTAATACAGTACCAAGACGCTATTTCATTTCAGCTAACTTAGGTGATCTTCTGCATTGCATGGCGCATTGATACATATTTTTGCATAATGTTTGCTTGATACATCATATTCCTTCAACGATTCTAGACTGCAATTTGTTATGCCCGCTCTAGGCTAAAATGACATGCTTGCGCAGTATTGCATGCAGGTTTGCTCGCTACCTTAGTTAGTATGTCAGACTACAGGATTCGCAACGAATCATGCGATGCAACAAAAGAGGCAATGTTTAGATTAGTTTCGGTTCCCGGTACATGGATATATCCCTTCTTCAAGCCACATAACAAACGCACGTACACACGAAATGCAATACTGCGCTATGGGAGGAGAGAAAACTCAGGACCTTGACCCTAAGCGATGAAAATATTAGGTAAATTTAGCCTAAGCTTAGGGTATTCTTTGCTAAGTTTATTTTGACACCTTATATCAAGGTTTGGTGTTTTCTTTGCCCCTAAGGCTGCGAACTTTTCCCGGCAGGCAATGTAATGCAATGCAATGCAATGCAGTCTTGCATATGTCTCAGCTTCTCGACTCTGCGGGCGGCGGGCTTATTGTCCATCTGCGCGACATGCGCCACGTTGAGTCTGACTGGCTGTTGAGTGAATACTTTGAGATAACTCTAAACATCGATAGTCAAGATGTCTCTGAATGATATGTTGCATCGAATGGTTCGGTTCTGCAGATGCATCAGCCACCAACAAATTTGCCTAGAATACCTATGCAACTCTAGATACAATAGTTCCTCTCATATGCACCTCTTACATCACCAGTTCTCGGGCCCGAATCGCTCTCCATCCGGTACGTGAGCTTGTATCGCGGTCCCCTGGACATCCATCGTCGAGGTGACAATATTGTTCCCCCACCAGCTTGGCGGATCTACACCATGCAGCGTAAAAGCAAAGAAGATGAACAAAGTCGCTAGGGCGAGACCTAGATCGAGAGCCGACGACGTCAGGAAGTTGAGTCTGGTCCACCACCTGAAGTGGCGCTTCTTGATCCAGAACTGGAAGACGAAGCCAACAATGCCCCATGAGAGATAATTCAGCGGCGTTGCGGGTGGGATCGCCCCTGCACCTCCGAATATGAGGGGTGCCATGAGATATCGCACCGGAGACCTCGGCCATCGTTTGGCTGAGACATAGATGACTATTGGTGTAATGGCACCCAAGACAAAGAAGAAGAAGAGGCCAGAGTATACCTGACCAGGGGAAAACATGCGTGCAGGACCTAGGAGGCCCCAGATCACAGATGCTAGCCAATTAGGAAGAGCTGTAGGCGATGGATTGCATGACTTACCGGCAAAGAAGACACGGCCACCAGGGCACGTGAAGGGTGGTTTCTCACAGACTTCGGGTATGTTTTTCAGGGATAGGTTTAGAACGACGATCTGTATGAAGCACGAGAATGTAGTGGCCACGACTTGAGACAGGAACATGGTTCGAGGGGGGATCTTCATGTAATGTCCGAACTTCAAGTCCGAGACAAAACGAAGCGATTGCGCCCTGGGGTGAGTGTTAGCTAGTCTCGCTCTTTCGTCATTTCGAGGGTGTCTATGATACTTGCATTGATATGTAGCCCAGGGTTTTAAAGCTTAATGGATTAGCACACAAGTGTTATTGAAGTGGAGGCCGAACGTACATCATGAGCGCTAGAGGTCGACCTGGCTGAAGGTATCCATAGATGAACTCGGTCAATACATTCAAGCCAATCTGAGTGTTTGTAACGGCTTGGATAATGCCTATAGGCAGAGAAAAACCAAAAGAAATGGCTATAGCAAGCAAGAAAGCCCACCAGGAGAGATTGGTCGGGTAGGCCAGTACTGTATAGAGCCCTATAAGTAGCATCTACTTCATTGTCAGTCAACTATACAAGAAGAGGCCCTCAGCATCATGACATACAACAGCAAATAGGGACATATACCACCATGTAGGAGCCTCTTTATACTTTCTCATGAGCTTCATATGTATGTCAGGCTTCTCGTTTGTGCTGTTTCTCCATTGTTGCCAGATCTGCTTTCCGTTATGCAGATAGGTGTAGACAACGAGTGACGATATAGCAGCGAACGATAAGCCGTAAGAGATGGCAAAAGTGGTGCTCTCCATGTTAGTCTTGATCATGGTTATATGAACTGCTTATCATACCTAATAAAAAGGGGGGAGTAGTTCTTGTACTCTTCTTCATCCAAATCAAAGTCCTTCGTGAGAATCCTGGAGGTATTATAGGAAGCGCCGGTATTATCGTAAGTCCCAGAGTCACTCATGGGCAAATACTCAGCATACCAAGCTCCGCCGTAATGAAGAAAGGATGATCCTATAACGAAGAACAGAACAACTCCGATGACGGTATTGGCGATGGCGTGCCTTTTCTTGATTAGCTACTCCTATCAAGAGTTTCTTTCAAACATACCATGGTGGAATGAGCGGCGAGCCAACGTATCCTGCTACTTGAGTCCAGTCAAAGGTGATAGGAAGAAGCGAAAGACCCGTCTGTCCTCCAAATAGCTGATTCACAATAGGATTCTGAGGTGCCATCCATGTGGCAACAGCAAAGATACTCAGAAATTGGGCCAGAAAGCCTGGAATGAAGTAGTATACGAAGGAACATGCAGTTACAATGGCGAACCACTTGTATCTGTGCATTCTGCCCCCTATAATGGTGGGATCTGGCGTATCGTTTGTCTCGTACATGGCATTCATAAGAGTTACACCAACAAGATTCTCGGGCCAGATCATGGACGCAGGATAGACTTATAGGGTTAGTTGCGGGATTACGGTGACATAGGGACAACTTGCCTAAGAACTTGCGTAGCATCCCCGCAATGCCATATCCCACAGATTGCGTTGAGATAGTCAGGAGAAGCTGGAACACAATACCAAAGTCCTGCTTGTAGAAGACAACCTGTGCAAGGATGATATCTGTAGCATACGCGACAGAGAATGACACACTGGCCATGACAACGATGATTGCATGTTCCTTGACATTAAAGGGCCCAGGATTCAGAGTCCACGTTATACCGAAAGTGGTGAACTCCCTGTCAGTAACAACCTTTGCCCAGCCATGACCCATAGGCCACGCAACGATTTGAGCGATGAGAGGCCCAATACTAATGGACGGTTGGCGGAGAGAACAAAGCGTATTTATACTAGCCCCGACAGTTACCAGAATCATCCCTATAGTCCAAGCTCTCACTGTATTGCATGGAAGATCTTCGTCGAAATTTCTCACCGCAGCTCGAACTTCAGGATAAGGGGAGTTTTCTTCCTCTTCGTCGTCTTCATCACCACTGAGAAGCGCTGCTTCATCACCAGACTCTCCTGAGCCCTTTCGTCGTGTCTCATACTCATCGGGTAGATTTGGGTCCATAAGCATCTCGTATTCCGAACCTGCCTCGTCGTCATTTCGCGCTGAGGTTGCCCACTCATGGAGGCGATGCTTGAGGTTCTCGTTTGACGAGTCCTCAATCTCAAGAGACGTGGACAAGCGTCCACTAGGACCTCCTATACTCTGGCCAACGGCTTCGGCTGGCAATACCGACCCTAACTTCTTATTTTTTGGCATTATGAGATTTGGCTCTTCTCACCCGGGATTATCGGTAAGTGGGCTATAGTGATTTGCAGCTCATCTAGTTCTTTGGACAATTCAGAGAGTCTAGATACCACATTAGTATCTCAAAGGCATTGCACTCTTTGGTATGAACTCACTATTTTGAATGAAATCGGTTTGCATCTCATCCGCCGGTATAGGACACGCAGTCTGAGGTAAGGGTGGCCTCAAGCCCTAGACAGAGAACAGACGTGGTTGAGATGAAGCTATGACATGTATTCTTTCCTACTCTTGCAAAAGAAAGACGTGTCTGAGCTGAGTATAAGAGTTTTTAAATGTTCGAGACTCAAGGTGTCGTTGAAGTCGTGTCGTTATATGAGGGAAGTGTCCTTTTGTTTGTACTACTTTGTGGCGTCTATTGAGGCTCGGGTCTCTTCATAAGCCTGTCAGCAAACAATAATGGACAATAATATAAGCTGTTGGTTCAGCATCGAACAATGAAAGGGACAAATCCTCCAGATAATCCGAAGAAGGTAAGAGATCTACTCAGGAGGATGTTGTTCAAGATAAGGTTCGGGAGGATTCCCATTGAACTTATGAGAGGTGCCTCAGACATGCCCCTGTATCAAGATGGCACTAAGCCTGACACGGAAATTCCACTTCGGTTTGGATCAAATAATCCATCGATTTTATACAACATCAGCTCCACCGTCCCTTAATCACTTGGACCTGTATAGATTCACTTGATTTGTGTTAAGATTTCTATACGATTCATCTATTCCCCTGTAGCACTCATTCAGACCCTGCTCCTCGGAATGGGTTTATGATGCGTCGCGTGGTAGTGACAGGCCTGGGAGCCATCACGCCCTTGGGAGTTGGCGTAAGGCGAACATGGACTCGTCTTATTAACAACGAATGCGGAATCGTCAGCGTCGCAGATCTCGAGCCTCAGGCGCGATGGAAAGAGTTGACGAGCACAGTCTCTGGGTTAGTGCCCAGTGGTGATGGAGAAGGACGATGGAGGGCATCAGAATGGGTCAATGCAAATGAGCAAAGACGAATGTCAAAATTTACAAAATATGCCATCGCAGCTAGCGACATGGCTCTCAGGGACTCGGGGTGGGAGCCGAAGAACGCAGAGCAGCAGGAGGCAACAGGTGTTTGCCTTGGAAGCGGTATTGGAAATCTAGACGAGATTTACGAGACCAGTTTAGTGCACCATCAAGACGTGAGAAGCCATTCGGTTATTGTCGAACCTATGCTAAATACGTGACAGGGCTACAAGAAGGTGTCTCCGTTATTTGTTCCCAAAATTCTTATTAATATGGCCGCCGGCCATGTGGCTATGAAATACGGCTTCCAGGGTCCCAACCACACGGCTACGACGGCTTGCACGACTGGTGCACACTCGATCGGAGATGCAGCACGGTTTATCACCATGGGAGACGCCGATGTAATGGTCGCCGGAGGTTCAGAATCATGTATCCATCCTTTGACTTTCGCTGGCTTTGGCAGAGCAAGATCTCTGTCGACAGCATATAACGACAATCCCACAGCAAGCTGTCGTCCGTTTGATGCTGACCGCAATGGCTTCGTTGTTTCTGAAGGTGCTGCGGTGGTGGTTCTCGAGGAATTAGAGCACGCCAAAGCACGGGGAGCCCATATATATGCTGAAATCAAGGGCTACGGCTGCAGCGGTGATGCTCACCATATGACAGCACCACGTGAAGATGGCCATGGCGCATATCTTGCTATGAAGAAAGCACTCAAAAGTGCAGGCATCAAGCCCTCACAGGTTGACTACATCAACGCACACGCAACTGCAACTCATGTTGGGGATGTAGCGGAAACGTCGGCCATCAGACGGATCATGCTGGGCGAAGAGGGACATCAGAAAGAGTCAGATGTTACAGTCAGCAGCACCAAGGGCGCAGTCGGACATTTGCTGGGAGCAGCTGGGGCTGTTGAGGCTTTGTTTTGCATCCTAGCCATTCATGAGGTATGTAGATTCCAAAGCCGTCAAGACGCATTCACTAACTGTTCCCAGGGAGTTGTGCCAGCAACATTAAACCTACAGAAGCCAGATGTTAGAGCTGCCTTTAATTTTGTGCCAAATGAAGCACAAGAGAAGACGGTTGATGTAGCCGTATCCAATAGCTTTGGCTTTGGCGGTACAAATAGCTCATTGTTATTTTCCAGATATCAATGATGCTAACGTGAAATGTAAAATAGCTGTATACTACTGTATTTCTGCTGATCAAATTCCTCTCTATTCTCAAGTGATCGCATGGTAGGTATATAGCACAGTAGATACAGTGCATTTCGCACCATATTACCGACAGCCGAACCAGTCACAAAATTTCAGATTCAACTTACTAGCTTAGGATCCAAGGGTCCATGACGATAACACTCCAAGTGCCTCTCATCCCGCCTTGTCCAGGCCCTTCACGCCGAATTTCCCTACTGAAAATCCTCTCACAATGAGCATGGCCTGCGAGACATGTAGAACCCAGGCCCGGACCGTCCTCCGGGCTGCAATGCGAGCCGGCGCATCACGAGCCGCTGCACCGACGACGAGGAATTTCCTTCCACCCACTGCGGTTGTTACTCGACGACATTTCAGCAACACGAGCTCGAGAAGCCTCCTCAAGGGTATTGGAAAATCTATGGCCGAGCCGTATCGTGTGTTGGGTGCGACGGAGCAGCTTTTCAAGGCTTCAGCGAAGGCGGCAGATTATCATATCACTGAGAAGGAGAGAAAGGATGATCAGGTGCAGCTCGCAGAGGATGGTGAAGAGATTGGGCATTCTCTGAACCCTGACAGTCCCTGGCATCACAGTATGTCTTCTTAACAAACTTCAAAGTACCTGTCTCATGCTGACTTCCACAGCCTTTAAACTTCCTCCAACCTTCAGCACCTGGTCCCACGTAACCATGCTTCACCTCTACCTAATCAACACCCGAATACGCTGCTTCGACCGCGAGGGCTTTCAAAACTGGCAGCACCAGCTCACAGACCACTTCTTCTTCGAATGCGAGAAGAAGATGCACATCGATCACCACATCACATCGAGCGCCCTCCGCCAGCGATACCTCAAGGACATTTTCGTTCAGTGGCGTGGTCTCCTACTAGCATACGACGAGGGCCTCATCAAGGGCGATGCGATGCTGGCAAGCGCCATCTGGCGAAATCTGTTCAAGGGTTCTGCTGATGCGGATCCTAGAGCTCTTCTTGCTATCGTGGGCTGGATGAGATCGACACTGTTGCAGTTCGAGGCTGTTTCGGACAATAACCTTGCTGTGCAATTACCAGCGATTATGGCCAAGCCAGTGGATGTGTTCTGGACGAGATTGGAGAAGCAACTTGGCGGACAGCAGGAGGATAGTCTTCCTGCTAAGGAGGTGAACGAGGAGCCTGTATCAACAGCGGAGACAGCCAAGGTTTCAGCGAACTAGAATGCGGATGGAATATTTGTACTATCAGATGGATGGATGTATGGGTTACATGACAAAAAAAAATAGAACGGGCAGGCTGTATGAATAGGGCACTGGAAGATGGGGTTTTCCTAGGCATGACGGTTGTATATGAATAATTCCCCTGATGATATTCCACCTCATATATATGTTCTTTTGTTGTGATTATATTTGTATGGCCTAGTTAACTAATCACGCTTCTCCCACATTTGAAACTCATATTTTGTGCCAGCCTCTTCTTGACCACCCTCTTCAATTTCTTCACCTGTCCACTCCTGTAGCTCATCTCTAGACTTTCTCTCCCATGATCCATCCTTCAAGTCGACAGGAAAGAAAGTATCGCAGTCAAAATCACGCTCGATACTCGTGAGAAGGATCCGTCGCGCTTCTGGCAGTTTGAGAGCAGCATCATAGATCTGCGCACCACCGATGACGAAAATTCGACCGACGTCGCTGTGAGTACGAGCGTATTGAAGAGCAAGTTCAAGAGATTGAACTCTTACGGGTTCAGAAGGCTCGACTGTTTCGGGGAGCTTTGAGGGCGCGGAGCGGGATATGACAATGTTGAGACGGTCTTTGAGAGGGCGGAATTTGGTGGGGATTGAGTCCCAGGTTTTGCGGCCCATGATGACTGCGTTGATAGAGGATGAAGAAGCCTTGGTCGAGTCAGTACATGAATCTCATGGTCTGTTCAATAAAGCGACAACGCAGCGATATATAGATGGCAAAGTAAGGAAGGGTATTATATACCTGTGGAGGCACCCGAGTTGTGACGCGCGCAAAGTACTTCATCTCTTTGCGTAGACCTTGCCATGGCATTGTTCCATGAAGGCCAATGCCCATGTTGCGCGTGGCCGCGACTATGAGATTCATTTCGAGAGACTGCATTGCTCAAGACGTTGATGATGAATCTGTGAGGTTAGTTTGAGGTGGAGGTTTGATGATGCTTAAGTTGAGTGGATTTGTTGGTGTAACGGTGATAGGACTAATGACACCTGAGACATGGAATGACGATGTATCGCGTATCTATTCTACATCTTTCACTGTTCTTACGCTTGTAATTAGTGGATCGTGTTTCGTTTAATTTATAATAAATTCTGTCTTGGTTGTTGGTACAAATCTAGTCCCAGGCTTATGAATTCCTTCTGTTAACCACCCAAGGTTAAGGTATCTAGGTATCGAGTGAGACTATCCTCACAATTTTGATGGAGGCAAAATCTCAACATCCTTGAAAGGAACCCCCAGAAACCGGTAAATATGGTTAAATCTGCAAAGTCAGTTTCTGTTTTCTTTCCTTTGCCATATTGACGACTTACCTGTCACTTCCAAAGAACGCCTCAGACTTGCCATCATCGCGGGTCACGATCAACCAAGGAGCTCCAAAAGCGCCGTTCTGAACCGCTTCACCAGTAAGATCTTTGACCCTCTCCTTCATGCTCTCTCTCCCATTCATGATCTTCTCAACATCCTCATCAGAGAACAACTTCTTGCCAGACCCTCCATCTAACTCATCTGTTGCTTCCTTGAGAGCTGCAATGAGCTTCTCATCCTCGGCAAGATTGACATGAGGAGGCAGCCAGATCTTGTGGAAGAGGAATCGGATCGCAGCGAGATAAGTTGACTCTGGGTAGTTGTCCTTAATAAAGTGTAAAGCGCGGAGAGGTGACACGGTCTTTGCGATGGCAACGATATCGGGTGGCGAGCCTTGGTAGGGAACACCAAGACGCTCAGCAGCGCGGAATGAGTCTCTAGCAAGATATTTCCCCTTGGCCTTGAGAACCCATGGAGGACGGTTTCCTAAGTTTATGTAAGAAGAAGTCGTGGTATTCGGTTCAGTATAGTTAGTTACCTGATGTCTGCATAATGCCGCCCAAAAAGACAGGGATGAAGCTATAAAAGTCAGCGATTTGCTTAAAGATATGGATATCCATGAACATACTTTACTTGTACCCCATGAGCAGCAAGTTTGCTCATGTTCTGCCTCAAGTCCGCATATCCTACATAGCTGTAGAATGACACTGTTACACATCAGTGCTGTCCGGGAAATAGAGATGTTAGGCTTCTCACCAATGTCTAGGTAGCAGTCGATACGTCCACCCATTTTAGACGACACTTGTTTCTGACGTTATTCGAGGAGTAAATGACGAGATCTGTATCCGTACTTTGCAGGTACTGTACATACAATTCCAAGGTGGAGGGAGGGAGCTCTATTACCTACCTATTAAACGGATCTCGGCCCCGGTCGATGTGGGGTCTTTCCCCGTGCCGAGGCTCGGGGAAGGTGGAGGTTGGGGTTGGGGTGCATCGGACTTGGACCTTTCAGATCTGATCTATAAGCAGATCGTCAGTATTTATTTATTCAAGTCTTCAAATAACAAATCTCTTGACCAGTAAAACAATTATTCACAATGGTATCCAAGAAACCTGTTGCCCTTGTTGTAGGCGCCTCCAGAGGCATCGGCCGTCAAGTCGCCGTTGACCTCGCCCGCAATGGCTACGCTGGTATGTCAAGCTTCACTATAGGTATTGTACTCATGAAGCTGACCCTCTAAAGTTGTTGTTGCTGCAAAGACAATCAGTGATCCTTCTAATCTACCAGAACCCTTTCCTCCAAATCCTAACTCTTCCGCTTCTACCATCACAACAGTTGCTCGTGAGATTACTTCTGAGGGAGGCGACGCTACTGCTATTCAGGTTGACGTTCGCTATCCTGAGAGTATAGATGCTCTTGTATCGAATACTATCTCCGTGAGTCTACCGAATTGCTCTTCCTTTTAACTCTCACTACTGACAGTTCCAGACTTATGGCCGTCTAGATGTTCTCATCTACAACTCAGGCGCCATCTTCTGGGCCCCTGTATCGTCGACTCCCGTAAAGCGCTTCCAACTCATGCAGCGCGTCAATCCAGAAGGACTCTACGCAACCGTTCAAGCTGTTCTTCCTCATATTTCTTCTTCGGGTCGGATAGTTGTTGTTAGCCCACCTATCTATAGTCGTTTCTTCCGTGGCAAGACCGCATATGCTATGGGCAAGGTTGGTATGAGTGTCCTCACAAAGGGTCTTGCCATGGACTTTGAGCGCCAGGGGAAGAAGGATATGGCCATCACGTCAATTTGGCCAGCTGTGGTATGTTGGATCTGACACCTTGAGTCACTCAAACAACTGACATATTAGGCTATCGAGTCGGCGGCCACAGGGAAATTCACAGCCAAAAACCCGGAAGAAGCCAATGATTTACGAAAGGCAACCATCTTCTCCGACGCTATCCTCGAGATTCTCAAAGCTTCTCCAAGCGTTGTGAACGGCGAGCTCCTACTAGATGAAGACTTCCTCCGCCAACATGCAGGCATAACCGACTTCTCCAAATACAATGTAGTTCCAGGTGCCTCACCACGGAGGATCATGCCTCAAAGTCTCCCAGACTTGACTGTAGCAGAGCAAGCAGATGAGGGCAAACGCTACGACAGCACGAAGGATAAACCCAAGCTATAGAATTATTGAGGATCGCTATTGTTTCAATATATGTAGGAAAAAAGAGACCGTTGTACAGGTAGCTAACTACTGGCACGGGGAAAATCAACCTGAGCAGCCATGATATCCTCTAGAACACACATCTAATACCTCCTTGGCCATGGAAGCTGCGTTCACCAAACTCCTAGACATGATTATAAACGTACACCCGACTCTTTGAAACCCCTCCTTTCCATTCCATTCCATCCCTTTCCTTTCCCTGTCATTTTACAAAAACACGTATCTGCTGAGAATCTGTGGTGTGCCAGCCATCAATAGGGGACTTGGCTACCTGGTCCAACTCCTTGCATGCCATCAATGTCGTCCATTACACCGTTGAATACGTGCATGATTTGGTCAACGACTCTGCTGCGGTTCCACTCATTTCTTGTGCGCCATATAGCATCCATGAGCTCACGGTTAATTTGCTCAAGTTGCTCAATAGTACAGCCGCTTGTCGCGTCAGTTAGGTGCTGAAGGACTGTATCTATCTCGCCTCCAGCGAACGGTTGAGAAGCGGAAGTGGATGAACCCGAGTTTCGAACCGACTGGTATTCATCAGAAGTCTGATCATTGAGGATGTTGGCCATTCCGCCCACACTCTGAGCCTTGAAACCGGATGATCGTTGCGAAGGTGGGCTACCAGAGATGCCCGATCCTTGCAAGAGGTTACCCCCTGCCGCAGCAGCCTGAGCTTGAGAGTGCAACCAAGAGTCATCTCCAGAAGTATTGTGCCCGGCTACGAGTAGCGTGTCTGGGATGTCGACTTGGCTATCATCCTCAACACCTCGGTTCTCAGCATGGCCACCATTTGTCATTTGACTAAAGTTTGACGATTGGTGAGTTGACGGGTCCGAGGTTTTGGTTGTTGAAGCCTCGTTGATAACAGCTGATGGTGAAACTCCTGGGGGAAGAGTAGTCACTACTGACTTCTGTGAAATCTGTGTCATGCCAGTATGAGCCACGCTGGGGTCATGAGACTTTGGTGGAGGTCCCATGTCAGACATGGCCTGCGTATCATCTTGGACACCGCTCATCTGGACATCTTCTCCTAATGGTTGGGTGATGCCATTACTCAAGGGGTGTGATGAGTCCTGGCCAGAGGTGCCATGACCATTTGAAAGTGGGCTTCTAACTTGAAATCTGGCAGTTGTCCTCGATCCTGGCACGGCTTCTCCCAGAGTTACAGGGCCTTGAGAGTCGCTGTCATTTCCACCCAGATCAGATTGCACACGGTCTATGACAGACTGCATGGCTCTTCGCTTTCTCTCTTTCTCGGTAGCATCCTTGGCGCGCTGAACTTGGCGTCTGTATAGCGCCTCCCAGTCAACTTGAGAGGTTTGGTTTTCGATACTAGCGACATCAACCTCGACGTTGCTGAGGAGTTCATTGGCCTTGAGAGTTCGCTCCTTGTCTCCAATATTTTTGGCGTCTTTTGCAAGAGCCTTGATGTCGAAAAGAAAGTCCTTTG